CGGAAAAGTTTCGGGCTTCAATAGATGCCACTGCGAACTACAGGTGATCATAATGACTGTGAATTACAGCTGCAAATAGACCTTTTCCTGGTTGTCCATTTATTCGTGGTGTTTTTGGCTTCCTCTATCCTCATGAGTATCGATTGGTCTCATTTCCGTAGCGGACATTAAGCCTCAAATATTTCTTGTTTCACCGAGATAAAGAGAAAACCTTGCAGCACCTAGAGCCATGAAAAAAAATTTTTTTTAATTTTTGTTCCCGTGAAGTTGCAGTTCTGTCACTATCTATCGCGCAAATTCAAAAACTTATTTTTTGGATGCAAAATTCTTAGTAGTTTTGGTAAATTATATATTTGTTCGTTTGTTAAGATGTACTTAATTTGAGAGTAGCATTCGATTAAGGCCGAGTACACACTTACAAAATAGACGGATTACTTCTAAAAAAATTTTGGAGGTAAAAAAATGCAGAATTTTGCCATTAAAGCTATTCACATTGAAAATAAATCTATGTTTAAAAAAAAATGTCATTTTTGTATGTAATTGTTTGGACTTAATGGACTGAAACATTTCTGTTTAGATTTTTTGTTTTTAGTCCTTTTTCTGACTTGTTTTTCTGAACTGCTTTTTATTGCCCACTATTGTATTTCCTTTGATCAAATTCTCTTAGGTCATTACATTAGAAGTACAAATTCGCCCATTTCACAGCACGTGCCCATCTCTGGAGGAAGTTTGCTGAAAAGCCAAATATGTTCCATTTGTACGATTTTTAAAAATGTTTTTTGAGTATGAAGAAAAGGATTGCAAAAAGCTGTTCATTTATGTTCGTACATTACCAAATGGGGAGAAACTTGCAAAGTCCACTGCTAGAACCAAGCTTATAAGATGATAAATTCCAGTTTTTGCGGATTTTTTAAGTGGCGGTCTGTGCGTTGGATCAGCACCTGTTCCAGATATTCGAGACACACGGATATCTGGGACACCTAGAATGGCTATTAATTTATAGGTTGCATCTTTATTTATACAGCTCACAACTGTTCAGTTGGCGGGAAATATGTGCCTTCTGCATCCACCCCATTTCACACATTCGAAGTAACGGATCGGTTTGACATGCCGAACAGGTGGGAAACGAAGAATTATGTCCTCGTATAGAGATTTTGCTTTTGCTTAAGCGCAGTAGGGTTAGAGAAGTCCATGGCAGCACAATTTGCAAGGTTTAAGACGTAAATTAACCCAGGCTGGAACGCACGAGGCGGGCCCGTGCGATCATGCGTTTTTGCACCGGATTTGAATTACTCAGGTCATTAAATGTATGAATGGCTGTTGCTTTACACTTACTTTTTGTGGTCAGCACCGTAAATCACCATAAATTTTGCAAAGTAAATGTATAATTTTCATTTAACAGTCGTTCTTTAAAATCAACCTAGTTGTTCAGTGAGAAATTTTTGCGTCAAGACTTTTAAGCGCTCGTACGTAAGAGCCACGCATGCCTCAACGCCAAATTTGAAATACTTAAGTTGTACTCGGACAAGGAACCTCAAAATTTCAGCCTTCCAGCTCTTCTGGTTGCCGAGCTTGTAATTTTCCTGCAGAAACTTTCATATGCTCTTACGTGAGTACCATGCATAGATTGGGGCTGAATTTGAAATATATGAGTTGTACTTCGATAGAAACACTCCTCCAGAATTTCAGCTTTCTAGCTTGGCAAGTACCCAAGTTAGCAATTTTCCCCCTAAAACTTTCATACACCACGTACAACTGGGGGCTGGATTTGAAATCTTTAGCTGGTACATGCACAGGGAATATCCCTGCAAAGTTTCAGCCCCTTAGCTCGTGCCGTTCCCGAGATCGCTTTCCTGCCAAAAAATTTGCATATTTCTTTAAAACTTCCATACGCGGCACTCAGGCGTCCAAGGGGGATGAAATTAAAACGGGAGGATCGCGTATGGTATAGGCACGTAACCCCAGAGTTTCAGCCTTCTAGCTTTTCTGGGTCTCGAGTTGAAAGTGGGTGACAAAAAGTGCGAACACAGACAGATACACACATACACACACACATACACACACACCCACAACCTCTTCCGAATATGCGTTTTTGCAATTTACATATATGCAAAAACGCATAAAAACGAACAGTTGGAAAAATGGAGTGTTTTTTTTTAGGAAAAGGCGTACGAGTAAGCTGGAGAGGGAGGAGGTGGAAGGGTCTGTCGAAGATGCATCGAAGCGACGTGGAAATATTGCTGCTGCTATCGGCGAGCGACGACAGGAGGATGCTATAGTTTCACCGGTCCCGTTTTCAGCTGTGGTAATTTTTCTGACATTTTTTAGTTGAAATTAGTGCCTCTGCTTTTGAAAGATTAACCACGCAAAGCCGTGTCAGTGGATAATGATGCACGTTTCAAGCACTAAATGTCACAAATCTTCCCATTTTGGTTTCGACTCCGACATGTAGTGCAAGAACTGTAGGGCTTGACTCAAGTTGTTACTTGGTTGAAATCCTGCAGTTCTTGCATTACGCGCTGAAGGTAAGTTTGGTGTAATTTTTCGATCGACGTTTCGGGCTTTTCATTCGCCGAAAAGGTAATATGTATGGGTAATGGCAGTGGGATAGTGGGGTCTGACACTGGTTAAAGCATCACTATTATCCAGGATGATTTTGGTGAAAAGTCGTACCTAAAAATGTTTTGCTGAGCAGTTTCGAAGAATCTGTGACTGGGCACAATAAAAAGGGCGGGAAAGGATATTTCATGGAATTCCGTGGCGATCTGTCGACTGCGGCTTGTAATGGCAGTTTCAGAATTGCCCAGGTGCGCTGAATCAGAAGTCGAAATTCCTCCATATTCAATCCCCTGCCAAAGATAGGGGCACTCGGGATTAATCGAAACGCCGGTACTTTGCCAATCGAAGCTGTTCACTGACTGTCAAGGGCTACTCGACTAACTCTATAAAACTGACTGGTGGTATTTCAAACTTTCTCCGTCGCCTCTTTGTATAAAAGCAGTGAAATTATCCATTCGGG